GCTGCCACAGCGACTTGTGCAAGGAGGTCTGCAGATGAGCCCGGAGGACGCAGTGGGCAAGAGAGTGGGAGTTAGCATAGCGATAGGGTAGAGGCAGCGACAGCTGCCATAGCTGTAGTTAGTAGTGAGTGTGTGTGTGTGTTCGAGTGTTAGAGTGATGCGTGTGGGATATCCAGGGTGATCCAGTGTATGTGAGCAGTGAGATGTTTGGGCGCTRAAGTCGCCATAGCCAATTGAGAGTGAACTCGTATCTGAAAGCCATATATCTTATTTTTGAGTGGGCGTATGTCGCCAGTATGCTGCGTTGCTGTTTACATGCATGAAAAGTGTGTTTGAGAACAAGTCTGATTGCATTCCTGCCGGCCCATTTTCGAGTTCCACCGCATAATTTTTTAAGACTTTAACCCTCGTTCATAAGCAGCAACAATATCAGGAGCAGTTTCAAGTAGTTCTCTTTTACTAAACCATYTGTCCTCAGATGGTGCCTGAGACTTAAAGCGTACCTTGAACTGCTTYTGAGGTCGTCCACGTGCTCCCGTAGAGAAGTATCCATGCTCTATGATTTTGTCTACTTCATTTATGCCTTCCATAGATGGCGGAATCATAGAGGGTCTGTTAGGAAATTCTTTCCCTTCTACATAGGGCAACAGTTTGGACGCGTGAAAGACAGGATATGTTTTGAGATGAGGGGGGATATCAATGCGATAAGACGGTCCCTCTGCATCTCCAATTATTTTGAGAACTTCCCAGGGTCCAAAGTAGACAGGCAACAGTTTTTTAGATACATCTTCTTCTAATGAAAACTCTTTGGATTTAACCCAGACCAGATCACCCTCTTTGAATGTGGATGGTCGTCTATGCTTATTAGCTTGTTCAAGCATTTGGTCTTGAGTTTTCTTTAAGTTTTCTTTCACTTTCTTTATGTCTTCTTGAAATAAAACTGCATATTCTCGTGTCCCTGGAGGTAGCCTAAGGAATTGGTCCCGTGTTAATACGTCAATGGGACGCCTTGGTTTCCATCCCTTGTGCAGTGCATTAGGCTTTCGTCCTGTAGCGGAGTGGACACTGCTATTATATGAATTGGCTATCTTGGGTAAGTTCTCATCCCAATCAATTCGATCAGGTCTTACATGCATGCGCAAGAGCTGTTGGCACAATCGATTCATTTGTTCACTTTGCCCATTCGTTTCAGGGTGTCGCCCTGACGACATAGTCAAACGTGTGTCGTATGCCTCCATCAGCTTTTGCCATGGCATACTTGTGAACCTAGTATCTCGATCAGATACAATGGACAAAGGAAAACCATACTCAGTTACCCATTTCGTCTGAAATTTCTGGATCACAAGTTCAGTCCTTGCTTCAGCAGGTAAGGGAATAAACATGGCATACTTAGAGAAACGGTCCACAATCACCATTACTTGACTATTACCGTTGCGACTTTTAACCAGACTCGTAAAGTCAATTGAGATGGACTCACCTGGTTCGCTTGGTATAGGTAATGGCCAGAGAAGTCCAAGAGGATTCTCATGCGTCAGCTTGTTTACCAGACAGGTACGTACATAAGTTAGTACGTCTTCTTTTAATCCCTTCCATTCAAAGCGTTCTCTAACCTCTGCGTAAGTTTTCTTGAATCCAAAGTGTCCTTCAAAGTCACGACATTCCCCAATCAGCAGACTCTTAATTCTTTCTTGTTGAGGAATACACAATCTTTGTTCTGTTTGGTCTAGCAAGAAAACCAAACCATCGGCTATGGGAAGGATCTCGTGCAAGGACATCCATGATTGGCTTCCAAATTGGATCAGTAGCGTATCCTTGACGAATCTTATCTTTTAAGTCATTCACAACATCCAAGTATGAGACAATTGTGCCAAAGAAGTCACTGCGTCGGGATAAAGCATCTGCAACCACATTAGACTTACCTTTAATATTTTTGAGCTCAAAGTCAAAGGTGTCAATGAAGGCAGACCATCGTACCAACTTGTCAGAGAGTCTAGATTGTGTCTTTATCCACTGTAGTGTCGAGTGGTCTGAATACACAGTAAAGTGTCTCCCTAGCAGGTAGCGTCTCCACGTATCCAACGCACAGACTAAGGCATAAAGTTCCCGTTCATAGGTGGAGTTGACAACTTTCTCTGACGGCAATCATGTAGACATAAACTCTATGGGCCTATAGCCCTTGCCATCATCCTGTTGGAGAACAACGCCAATCCCATACTGACTTGCGTCAGTGGTAACAATCAAAGGCAAGGACGGGTCAACAATCTTAAGGACAAGGTAGTGAGTTAGTGCATACTTCAATTTCCGAAAGGAAGACTCACAGTCCTTATCCCACAACCAAATAGTTCCTTTCTTTAACAATCTTCGCATTGGTGCAGCAATCAGTGAGAAGTTTCTGGCAAACTTCCTGTAGTAACTGGCTAAACCAAGGAAAGATCGCAATTCGGTTATAAACTTAGGTTGTGGCCAATCTCTAATTGGTGAAATATTTTTCTCTTCCGGCCTTAGACCTTCTTTGTTCACTATGTGTCCTAAGTATAACACTTCAGACTTACCAAACTCAGACTTCTTGGAATTGATCTTGAAGTTGCCCTCTCGCAACTTCTCTAGCACCAGACGGAAGGTGCTTCTCATGATCTTCTAGTGTCTTACTGTACACTAGAATATCATCGAGATAGACAATTACGAACTTGTCTAACCATTGACGAAAGAGTTCATTCATAGACCTTTGGAAGGTTGCTGGGGCATTAGTCAGTCCGAAGGGCATTACCACAAACTCGTAATGATCATACCTCGTGCGGAATGCGATCTTATGTTGATCCGTGGGTTCCACCTCGATCTGATGGTACCCTGACTTCAGATCAATCTTACTAAAAAACTTACAGCCCTGCAACTGGTCTAGCAAGTTGTCAATTCGTGGTAGAGGTTCGGCACTCTTAACAGTGACAGCATTCAGCCCTCTGTAGTCAATACAGAGACGCAACTCACCTTCCTTTTTGGGCACAAACAAGACAGGGGTAACTTCTCATGATCTTCTAATGTCTTACTGTACACTAGAATATCATCGAGATAGACAATTACGAACTTGTCTAACCATTGACGAAAGAGTTAATTCATAGACCTTTGGAAGGTCGTTGGGGCATTAGTCAATCCGAAGGGCATTACCACAAACTCGTTATGGCCATACCTCGTGCGGAATGCGGTCTTATGTTGATCCGTGGGTTCCACCTCGATCTGATGGTACCCTGACTTCAGATCAATATTACTAAAAAACTTATAGCCCTGCAACTGGTCTAGCAAGTTGTCAATTCGTGGTAGAGGTTCAACATTCTTAATAGTGACAACATTCAGCCCTCTGTAGTCAATACAGAGATGCAACTCACCTTCCTTTTTGGGCACAAACAAGACAGGGGCACCATAAGGAGAGGAGCTAGGGCGAATCCATCCTTTTTCTGTTAAGTCTTGCAGTTGTTTTTGCAATTCCTCAAGTTCCCTAGGAGACATTCGATATATAGGGCCCTTGAGAATCCTACTGCCAGGAATGATTTCAATATTGTGCTTAATAGCACGTTCAGTTATTCCTGTTGGTTCGGTAAATAATTCTTTATACTCACTTAGGAGTTTTTCTGTCGAAGGAGGATCGGAAGTAGAAGACTCACCTGCTCTTTTTACTAAAACCATAATTACTTCCTATTCCAACCTTTTCTTTGAAACCATCGATCGGAATGCTGGATAACTCATACAACAGAAAGACAGACTAGAGTCAGAGCCAGACTTAAGGTACAATTTGATAGGTTTCAATTCAGAGTGTGCGTCTCGTAGTTGCACTATCTTTTCTTTGAACTTGATATCTGGGTTGGCTTCCTCGTGCCAATCCATTCCCAGAATCAAGTCAAAGGGTAACTTCTTCTCCACAAGAAAGGAAACCTCGTGAACAATCTTCTTTCCTTCCTTGGTACGGAATCGACACTTCACACGATCAACATATTGCGAGACAGTGATCGTGCTTTTGTCAGCTAGGATAGACGTGATTGGGCGAGACATATTCTTTACCTTAATTCTGAGATGCAACTTGCAGATTGCTTTCTCGGATATGTAGGATCGCATGGATCCTGAGTCCAATAGTGCATCTACGCGTGTACGTGCAATCTCTACGTCCGCGAGTAGTAGGTCACCCTTAGACTTAGATTTCTTAGCCCACGAGCTTCGTAATGCAAGCAACTCATTACCAAGCTCGTCAAGAGAGTCGTCCAGAGAGACAATACATAAGACAGGTTCAGGGTGTTCCGGACGATGGGCCGAAGAAGAACCATCCTCTGCCACGGGAGTCGAAGGGTTGGAAGGGTTAGTGGGCGCCTTACCTTCTTCTTGATCCAAACCCTTAGACTCGGTAGGAGCAGATGCTACTCCTACTGACGACTCGCTTTTGGGTTTCGGATAAGTGGGCACCATGCAATCACATGCCCTGGGGTACCACACTTCAAACACTGTGCATTATCCATTCTTTCCTGCCACGTTTCTTGTGATAGGCCCATCTTTTCCCATGGCCTCCCGACCGCAATCCCGGGATGCTCTGGTAACGAGCGTGGATTCTTCTTCTTAATTGGCGGTCGTGGTCCTCCCTTGTTGACCATGGCAACAGTGGCTTCCCCCTTCCCGGAATCAATGCTGCTCGCCACACCCTCGGCCTCTAAGGGCCACTTCTCCACAGTATCGTCATCAAAGACGACGAGAGTGTGGTCCTGGCGCTTTTGAAGCCAAAGTATCCGCTTTCCTGCACCTGCACCACCACAAAACTTTACAACAGATGTATACGAGTTCTTAACTTGGGTCACTTCTCCACAGTATCGTCATCAAAGACGACGAGGTGTGGTCCTGGCGCTTTTGGCGCCAAAGTATCCGCTTTCCTGCACCTGCACCACCACCAAACTTGACAACAGATGCATACAAGTTCTTAACTTGTGAAGTCATTTGCTCTCGTTGGAGAGCCATTTCACGAAATTGCCTATAATTGTACTTACCAGATTTCGATTCTGCCACGAGTTGTCCACGAATGGGCTCGGGCAGAGCGCGGGAATCGATATACAAGACTTGGTTGTCTTGCAGGTGCAATCCAGGAACCTGCAACAACCAGTCGACTTCCCGAGGTCCAATGCTCTTGACCAATGGTAGTGAGTTGGTCAAAGGCCTTGTCAGCCGATCTTATCCAGGAAGCGTTCCTTGATCTTGCCAAGGAACTGCTTCAGAGTCAATGTCCCAACCCACTCCCCGATATCATCGAACCCCGCTGCGTTAGCCTCGGCCAAAACATTCACTATTTTTTTTTCCCCCTTTTCCAGAACATTCGCAACTTGAACGTTCGCAATTCTTTTTTTGTTTCCTGAGGAACATTCGTGACTCGAACTGCGCCTGGGGCCGTTTTCTTTTTCGGTTTGAAAAGGGCGAAGGCCTTGAGATATCATCAGTGAAATGACTGGCCCCGGGTAATTCAGAAGGTTTCATAATTTCATTGTATTCGCACAGGTAATCGAATCCAGGTCTTCATTTCAATAGTTCATGAGAAATCGCGACGCCCCGAGAGAGAAAAAAACAAAAACGGCCACGCCTCAAAAGAAAACAAGAACGCCGACGCCTTCTGACAGAATTGGACTTGAACTACGCCGCCACTCAAGCACACACCGTTCGACAACGATTGATTGAGGGCCACAACACAGTATTTTGGCCCCAAAAGCTAATTCCACAACGAACCACGCGTAGACCAGGTAGGCCCGGACACAGTTCGTTGGAAACCGCCTTTTCGGGCAATCCCAGCCCTTGATCTGAAAATCTACAGGCCACAACTCGCGGAAACTGAAAATTATCAGCGCGCAGCGTTCCCTCCGCGGCCTACTTAGCTATAGGAGTTTGTTGTAGACAACAACCAACAACAACGACAAACAACACATAT